GCCTGCATAGTTCGCAATTTATGCTGCCACACAGGACGTGCGTAGAAATACGAGATGACGCGTAGCTGCGTGATTAACGCTGCAGTAGCGTTGGCGGCTGAAGCGTTGCGTTTTGGCTACGGGATGAGGGCACGCAGATCAGCGCGGGTGCAAGCTGTATAGTGCATATTACGAACGGGTAGGTCTTTCAGCAGGGGTTTGCACAGACGATAGCAGAAATGCTATGTGCCGGATTTCGTGAAAACATATGAGGGGTAGGCATTTGTTTGAGTGTGTGCCTGGTTCTGGACCAATATAGCCATCAGACGCTGGATCGAGGTATCTGTTTGTTCGGGGTTGGTGAGTGTTGACCCGAAGTGGCGTCAATGCTTGTACCTGTGTGTTCCACGCGTTTTCCGTGACGCTGCCAGCTTTGCATTGGATACAATGCGGATGTGAAGAAAGCTCATCTCGGGTGTCCGCTTTCCCCGAGCGCTCTCTGCTGGGGATGCTGGGAACATCTGTGGGCTGTAGGTGCCAGTCCAACTGAGAGCACCCGTCGATACTGGCGTCTCTCGCTCGTGCGGCGGGACGGCCAGCTATATGGACGACCCATACGGGCACGCAGTAAGCCTGCTTGAGCCCGCAGTGCATACCATTTTAGCTGGTGGGTTATGATCATGGGCGTGTTGCACGAATGCAGTAGCCTGCAACCCAGAACCGGCATGCAGCATTCAGTCAACGAGTAAAACGAGTAGTGCAGCATACATGCTTATGCCGGGCGGCGTGCTTTTCATTCGAATTCCTTAGCCTCCTCATGTGAAGCAGTTCACAGCCCTGCTATCTGGCAGTCCCTGCATTGCATGCAGCATTCGATACTACTGCACGCTGGAGGAAACAACCCAACTTCTCCTTCATGTGCTCAGCTTGATGTCTGGCAGTCCCTTTTAGTTTGTCCATACGGCAGCAATGTTGCAGTATTGCTGCGCAGCTTGCTCTATAGAGTATGATGCTATTCAATGTTTTCGCCAACAATTTACAGTGCGACTTAGCTTGGACGGGTTTGCCCGAAGAACTCACATCTGCGCCTGTGGCGTGCACGTGAAGTCAAATCGAGTTTACCGGTAATTGAATCGCCTAAAGTGGTCAATTTGCTTTGCGGTTTTTCTTGTTCTCTCAAAACATTTCGGCGTATATTTCATGTGTCATTGCCATTCTGGTTTTCAGTGTGTTTGCTCTCGTCTGGCTTGCAGTTTTCGCTACTTTTTGTATGGTTTGCGCGTTGGTGTAGGCACTGTGGAGGACCGTTCGCAACGGTTGGCAACAGTCCAGTTTTTGCATTCAAACTTGTGCACAATTCCGTGGGTGACGCTGCGGGACGCTCGTGATTAAGCGCTTTATTATCGCAATAGTCCAATGCGGGAGCACACTGTCTCAGGAAAGGGGCCGACAGCTTCAACTGGTATCGTTTGACACCGTTGCGCGCAGATGGTCAGTGATGTGAAGTCCGGCACT